AATAAGAAGTAAGAAAATAAATATGAGATATAAAATATAAGAAAATGAAAGACTAGAAATTCACATTCCAAAGAAAGATTGAACTTCTTGATTTCTAAACTTCCTCTTGATCACCCTCAAGTTTAGGAAGTGTGTTCTCAATCCTCAATTTGAAACTAGAATAGAACTCTGGGTATGTATGGTGGAAAAGTGGCTAACTATCTTATTTTTTCTCACTTTTAACAACACTTACTCTTTCCTTTGATCAATCACTATTGAAATTTAGCTATTTCAGAATTTTTGGAGGAGTTTTGGGTGTAGGAAAGATGGAATTTCAATTTGTATGGAAGGTATGGGGTGTATATGGAAGATAAGAATGTTTTTAGTTCAAAAACTCAATTCTTCTCTTCTTTTTTTTATGCTTTTCTCACTCTTTTATCTTCAATTTTGTGGTCCTCTGTCTCTTTTACAATATGATCATTCTATATAAGCAATGAAGGAGAGTGAAGGTCAAAAACAAGGCGGGAGACAAAGTGGGAGACAAGAATGTGATAAGAGGGCAAATTTTCAAGGTAGTTGCATGGGATACTCCTTTATGGATGCAAATAAAACCTCTTTTTGACAATGGGGGATGATTAGGTATATATTTGGTGATTTATTGGTCGGCCAATGGGGTAGGGGAGTGTCCCGCACACAAGAAAAAAAATGCAAAAAATACACCTTTGCCTGTTGGTTTGAAATGGTCAAATATTATTTGAGGGGAAATATAACACAAGACAAAGCTTTGGCAAAATGGTTAAGGTGTTAGGTATGGAGTCTTAGGTTAAGGGTTCAAACTCTTTTACCAACACTTCTTAAATTCATTTTTTTGGGGGTAAAGACAAGTCAGCGCCACGTCATCAGCAAGGATCAATCCAATCATGCCACATCAGTAATACTGCCACGTCAGCACCCCAGTTAGCATTGACGGAATATTCTACATATGGACGGAAAATTTCCTAACTTAACAGAATATTCCCCGAGTATACAATTTGGCCCAGAAGTTTCAAATAATTATGTTGTAACCTAGATTTCAGGACAATTTTTCAGTGAGGCCCTCGGAAGTGCAGCGAAGGTTGATCCTAACTAAACGAGCCATTCTAGACGCAACCGTGAGGTTAGAATATGCCCTTGGAAAGATAATTTGTGTTGTTTAGGGTTGGAAACAGGGCTGAAATTCTAAGTTTTCTTATTGATGATTCTGTAAAAAACACCTTTTTGTTTTGTCATCATAGGGTAATCAAAAGAAAGCGCCCCAAGTCTTAAGGCCGGTCAAAATGGGGTGTCTACAACATGTTAATCTTTGAGCTAAATTCTTATGATTCCTTCATTAATTATTTAAATGAGTTCTTAACATTAAATTACACTACTAATCTCTTATTTATCTATTACACTCTCCTATTCTAATTCAATTGATGAGTATGAAAAACACTAGGCTCAAATTAATTAGACTAAAAAAATTAAGTAAAATCATCTAAGGCTAAGAAATTAATTAAAATCAATTTGACTCAAATTAAATTAATCTCATCATCTTAAAATCTTAATTACACTAAATTAAATTATACTAATGTGAAATAGGCTCTAATTCCTTCCCTATTGCTTAATTCTAATTGGTGAAATTAACGAATCAGACAGGTTTAATTTCACTTTAACCTATCTATCCACAATAACACAATTCAAATAATCTCATGGCATAACAATAACACTTAATAACATATAATCACATAATCAACATTAAGCACATAATCAACTTAATTAAGGAGGTGGTTGTCACATTTTTGGACCTTTTTTTTTCCCTTTTTTTAGATATTTATTTTGGGTCATTTTCTCTCAATTTTCTGAAATGCTCAACATTAATAATTAATGAATTAAAACTTATAAAATTAAAAACACAACAAAATCAATTCCTAACACAAGCTAATTATTCAAAATCATAAACTTTTAAATAAAATCATAAACTAATACAAGCACATCTTTCAAAATCCTAAACTAAATTATCAAAATTATAAACTAAATGATCAAAATCATTCATTACCCAACAATACAATTTTAAAGTAAAATCATTCAAAATCCTAAATTTACCTAAAAGTAATTCTTCATTAACTTTTACATTCATTCAAAATACAATAATAAAATAATAATAAACTGTTGTCAAATATCATCAAATTCAAACCCATTTAATAAAATAAAAACATTTGCAAACTTACAAACTCCATCATGAATCACATCCATGATTAGGGTTTGGTTTGTTGGGAAAAAATATCAAGGATAGGATGAATGAAATCTACGGTTCAAGTTTTAAATTAAAAAGAAAAAAAAAGGGTTTAAGTGCAGGCAGGTTCTTGCGGGTGTAGGTAAAACCCGCAACTCGCAGTAATGCCATATTCCAAACCGCATCCGCTCGCATTGTGTCTTCGAAACCGTCCATTTGTGTATGGATTGGTTTCAGGTTGGGCAGGTTATACGGTTCAAGCCTTAAGGTAAAGTATGGAATATCATCTCATTATTCACACTTGAGATTATTTTACATATTATTGTGCAAGCATCTAAATTTTGGAGGGAAATTATAAAAAATTCCAAGTTTGACATTGTCATAAATTAATTTTTTTAATTAAGAAAAAAAAAGGGTTTAAGTGCAGGCAGGTTCTTGTGGGTGTAGGTAAAACCCGCAACTCGCAATAATGCCATATTCCAAACCGCATCCGCTCGCATTGTGTCTCCGAAACCGTCCATTTGTGTATGGATTGGTTTCAGGTTGGGCAGGTTATACGGTTCAAGCCTTAAGGTAAAGTATGGAATATCATCTCATTATTCACACTTGAGATTATTTTACATATTATTATGCAAGCATCTAAATTTTGGAGGGAAATTATAAAAAATTCCAAGTTTGACATTGTCATAAATTAATTTTTTTAATTCACCAATTTAATCATGTATTTTAAAAGAGGGATGTTATTAGTACTTACCTCTTTATAAAGCCCCTCCATTTCTTTAAACTCTCACCTAGCAAAATGAATCCCTTACCTTTTTTCTTTGAACCCCCACCTTAATACCAACTGTACCCCTTATCTTTTTGACCCCCAACTTTTTTTTTCTGTAATTTTCATACCATCGGCAGTCCCACCCCTTCGGTAACTTTCCAGAACCTCCCTCACCGGCGACCATCCTCCGCTACCTTCATCATCTTCAATCACAACTCTAAAATAATTAGGGTATTTTGAAACTCTATCTTTGAAATCTTCAAGAATCCCAAACAACAACCTACAATGATACAACCTCCATATTGCCAATTGTAAACCCCAATGGAAAAAAAACCCCAACAACAAAAATGAAAGATGAACACCAACAGATAAATGTAGATAAGACAATTAAACTTTGGCTTGGTAATAGTGCAAATTGCAGGTGAAAGATGAACACCAATGCCGTATGTAGATTTAATTTCAAATGTTCCATAATGCCCAAGCCCATAATTCATGATACTAGACAGGTGCTCTGACACAACTATCCTTAATTTCTACATCGCAATAATACGCCCCTTTTCCCGGCACCAGCAGTGGCAATATGGGGATCGAGGCGGCATGAAAAGTCCTATCACTGGAAACTCCTGCTGCTGTTGTGGAGGCAGAGGAGGCGGCGGTTGATCTCCTTGCTCGCGGTGATATTGGTGGTCGCCGGTAAAGATAATGGTGAAAAGGTTGGTAGGTTAGGGTTAGGGTTTGGGAAATTAGGGTCAATGTTTGGAAAATTAGAATTAGAATGTTAGGGATGAGGGTAAAAATATAACTTCATGTTTGGATAAAATTGAAATTAAAAAAGAAAAAGAAAAAAAAAGGAGTTAAAAGAAGAAAGATAGATACTAATAACAGCACTCATTTTAAAATTGTCCAAAATTCAAATTCTATTCCATCTATGAATAGAGAAATTTTTCTATAGCATATGTGGCATGATTAGGCTCTCACTCACCAATATTAATACTTTGAGCTAGACAAATTTGATCAACACTACCACTTTTTGGGAAAATGAAACTTATTTTAAGGCCTCGTTTGAGCCCTTTTTTTAAGTAAGTTTTTGGTTTTTTATTAAAATTTGATGTAAAAAAAATATATATATGTTTAGGATGATTTTTTAGTTTTTTAAGAAAAAATATACCCAAAAAAAAAATTAAAGAGAATAAACTAACTTTCGTATTGATTTTTAACTAATTTTAGAATGATGCAACAGAATTAGGTCCCTGCGATTTAAAAATAAATAAATAAATAAATAAAATTGTGATATTTTCAAGATTGATGTTATCACATCATGAATTATTCCAACTACCTAACTCAAAATCAATTTAAAATATATAAATCAAAACTTAAATGAATTTGAGGCATGTTACCACAAATAAACATATAAATAAGAGTTAATTTCACTTTTTATCCATGAATTATTATCACATTATTTATTTAATTCTTAAACTATCAATTGAGTAGATTAATCCCTAAAATATATAAACCAATATTTACTTAATTTCTAAATTATTGATTGAATCTATTAAGTTTTTAACGTATTTAATTCAAACATATTTAGTACCTAAAAAAATTACAAAAATAAAATACAAGCCCATAAATATTGTAAATTAGTTAGATACCTACCTAATTAAGATATTATTTTTTAAAACACATGTTAATTTTTTTGTGAAAGTTACATTTTTCTACTATCGTATTTTTCAAATGGTCATATTTTTTCAACGATCATATTTTTGTAACGGTCATATTTTTACAACGGTCATATTTTTGCAATGGTCATATTTTTATACTTTTCCATTATAAATAAGGCATTCCCTGTCATTTGATCTTACCCTCAACTCAATTTTCTACTTCATCCAAACTCTATGGCTTCCAATTCTCTTTATGATATGCTTATAAATGACTCTGACTTCTCTAAATCTGATGATGATTTGGAGATGCTTAAAGCTATTACTATGAATGAAGAACTACTAGATAGTGAGATAGGATCAAGCTCACGTCGTGGTTCTGTTCGAGGTCGTAAAGTCATTCATCGTGATCATATTCAAGGTCATGAAAGGCTTTTTCTCAACTATTTTGCTGAATCACTTGTATATCCTCCTGAGCTATTTCGAAGGAGGTTTCGGATGAAACGTTCACTTTTTCTTTGAATTCAAGCTGCGGTAGAAGCGCATAATCCATACTTTCTCCAAAAAAGAAATTGTGCTGGAAAGCTTGGTTTGTTTTCTCTTCAGAAGATAACTGTTGCACTTAGGATGCTTGCTTATGGAGTAGCCGCTGATTTTATGGATGAATATGTGAGAATTAGAGAAAGCACTGCAATATAAAGCTTAAAATATTTTTGTTAAAGCAGTTGTTGATATTTTTTCTAATGAGTATTTGAGGTCACCAAACAGCAATGACATCGCTAAACTACTAGCAGTTGGTGAAAGTCATGGATTTTCTAGAATGCTAGGGAGCAGTGATTGTATGCATTGGAAATGGAAAAATTGTCCGACTGCGTTGAAAGGTATGTATACTGGTCACATTCATGAACCAACAATTATTTTGGAAGTTGTTGCATCATATGATCTTTGGATTTGGCAAGCATTTTTTGGATTACCTGGGTCTCATAATGATATCAACGTGCTAGAAAGGTCTTTTTTATTTACCGAACTTGCTCAAGGGCGTGCTCCTACAGTCAATTACGCCATTAATGGTAATGAATATATAATGGGATACTATCTCGCCGATGGTATATATCCACAATGGTCAACATTTGAGAAAACAATTCCTTCTCCTCAAGGAAATAAGAAAAAACTTTTTGCTGCAGCTCAAGAGGCGACAAGAAAAGATGTAGAACGTGCATTTGGAGTGCTTCAAGCACGATTTGCAATTGTGCGTCGACCGGCATGTTTTTGGAATACTAAAATGCTTAAATATATTATGAAGGCGTGCATAATTCTACATAATATGATCATTGAGGATGAGCGGGATGACAATGGAGTAAAAGATTTCAATTATGATCAAATTGATGACAGTCCCCATGTAACAGTGTTACAGGAGAGAACTATTGAACTTATGGAATTCATTCAATGTCATCATAACATTAGAGACAGGCAAACACATTCTCATCTCCAATCGGACCTTGTCGAACAGTTGTGGCAATTACACAGCGAGTTGTAAAAGTTTTGAATTTGAAGTTTCATTTTATGTAGTATGCTATTAGTTTTGAATGTAATCAGTATATGCTTTTAATTTATGTGTAATTTTATAATTCTATATGCCTTTTAATTATATGGTTTGCACTTTAATTATATGTCTTATATATATATATATATAATTAGCAATGTAGAGAAAATACAGCACAAAATAGCAACAAAATAATAGCAAAAACACCACAAAAATAGCAACAAAACAGCAGCAAAATTAGATCAAAAACATCTTCAAGAACATATAACTTACAAAGTCATATATTCACAATTGAAAAAATTAAGAATAAAGCAGCTGGAAATAGGATGGCCAAAAAGTGGACTTGATTCACACTTTTCATACACAACATGCTTTGAAAAAAAAAAAAAACAACAACAACCACAACGAAAACAAGAACAAGAAGACATTCTAAAATCACTGGATTAGCTTAGTGATCAGAACTCTTATTTCTCAAGTAGCTTAGTGATCACCACTTCATCATCACTACCATCAGTCCAATCTTGATCAATATCTTCCTTCTCTTCATCACCATGATCAGCAACACGATAAACTTCAGCATGGGTATGCCCTAGGCCATCAAACTTGCCAAGCTCACAGTCCATCAAGTCATCACAGCTGCATGAGAGTGCATCATCTTCTGCTGCACCCATCAGCTCTGCATCCACTGCAGCTATATTTAGCTCAGAAATGGCCTCTGAATCACCTGTGGCACATCCTCCTTTGAGTCATTAACATGATAAGGAATGTGATGGGTGCATAAATTGCTTGAATTACATTGCCATGCAAAGCTCTGTCCTCTGCTGCTGTCAAACAAG